CCCGGGCGTATGCCCTTCCCAATTTTGAAACATGCAGTGTTCCCTTGCTCTGTTCTGACGATTGCCTCCTGGTCCAAGTATAGGTTTCGCATTAGAACGATCAAGTGTTCTGGGATTTCCATTCTTCTCAGAGTCAGCCACAGTTTGTTATGATCCACACAGTCAAATGCCTTTGCATAGCCAATGAAACACAGATAGAAATTCTTCTGGTATTCTCTGCTTTCAGCTAAGATCCATCTAACATCAACTACAATATCCCTAGTACCACAACCCCTTCTAAACCCAGTCTGCATCATAGGAAAGACTAATCCTAGGTCAGACAATTTGAATGGTAAAAGTAATGAACAACCACTGAAGAAAAGCTCATTTAGCAAATTATTGGGCACCACATACATGCTTGGCACTAGAACTGGCATTAAAGAAACAGTCTCCATCAATAACATACACAGCGCAAAACCAATTTCCACGAGGCCAGACATGCCCCTGAGGCCCTGGCACCTACTTCTACCAATTCTAATACCAACCACTCCTCTCTGGGTTCTTACTGCTCTTCTGCTGGCACCACTGATTCATTGCAGTGGCCAACCTGAACCATACTTATGATTATGGGATTTCTTAGTGAAACTAACAGGTTATAATTCAGGTTGGAAACAGAATTCTGTCTTTACTCTGAGTACTCTGAGTATATGTCTTCTCATGAGTACTTGCAGGCCCTTTGACCTTTACCCTCACAGCATTAGGCCCTTGTTAAGAAGCTCTCTTGGTCTTACCAATATGGCATCTCCACTCAGTCGTCCAGTAAACTTGCGTGAAGGCCCCTGGCTCTGTCTCCATGCAACAGCAATCCCAAGTTAATGCTGTCTCATGTCAGCTTGTGGTTCTTCTCTGTTGCTGCTGCTGCCTGTCTGGGTCCCTGTCTGAGGTACTCATGAATCTCAGGCTCCAAAGGACGTATATGCTGTTTTCTCTGCATCTTCTTCTTTGCCAATAATGAGATTCCCATTTTCTCCTACTAAACCTGCTCATAAGATTGAAGCTCTCCTCACTCGGGGCACCAAAAAAAAAAAAAAAGATTGAAGCTCAACATCAAGAAAACAAAGATTCTCACCACTGGTCCAACTGGCAGCATCAGTATGGACAGTGAAGAGATTGAGATAGTTAAGTTTTAGTTTACTTGGCTCCACAGTCAACACTCTTGGTAACAGCAGCCAGGAAATCAAGAGACGGATTGCACTGGGAAAGTCAGCTGTGAGGGACCTCTCAAGAGTACTGAAGAGCAATGATGTCAGGCTGGAGACTAAGGTGTGCCTGATCCAGGCTATAATCTTCGCAATTATGTGTTATGCATCAGAGTGTTGGACAGTGAATAGGGATGATAGAAAGAGAATTGATGCCTTTGAGCTGTGGTGCTGGAGAAGAGTGTTGAATGTACCATGGACTGCTAGGAGAATAAACAGGTTTGTCCTGGAGAAGGTGAAGCTGGAATGCTCATTGGAGTCAAGGATTCTGAAGCTTCTTCTGACATACTTTGGACATGTTGCAAGGAGGGACTGGTCCTTGGAGAGGGACATCATGTTTGGCAGAGTTGAGGGGCGGTGAAGGAGAGGAAGATCTTCGATGAGATGGATCGATTCTGTGAGTGGAGTGGTGGGAATGAGTGTGTTTGAGACGGCAAGGTTGGCACAGGATAGAATGGCATTTAGAGCTCTTGTACATAGGGTCACTATGAGTTGCAAGCGACTCAATGGCACATAACAACAACAACAACAACACACCTGCTCAATTAAAACGTGATGGGATGGCAAACTTGGGCAATCCCCTTATTAGTAGTGTGCAATACCCTGTTTGCATATTATTCCTGGCCAGCCACATGGCAAAAGTCAAAGGCAATGGTCTAGGTAAGTAATTTTGAACAATAAAACCGATACACCACAGGATGTCAAGAAATAATCTTTGTCTAAAAAAAAAAGAAAAGAAACAATCTATGTCTAAATACAGATAACTAGAAAAAGTGGGCAGGATGAGAAGCAAGAGGTTTGATAGGGAGATGAGTAAACCATGTTCAAAGCTTTATCTGTTCCCGCTCTGGCGAACTTTGAGTACTTCTTTATTCTATATACCATCAGCACTTAATTGTCCTACTTACATTATTTAGTGCTCACCAATATGTTGATTTCTTAGTAATAGTATTCTTCGGCAATACATTCAGTGGTAGGGTATTTTTATTTTACATTACTTACCCTCATAGTAGCCTATAATGTACTGATGGTGAACCTTAAAACTGAGTTCCTACTTTCTCTTTTGCCGAATTTACATGTTACTTTTTTCCTGTCTTAATTCAACTGACTCAATAGAGCCTCTGAGCTTTCCTGATGGTTTTCATCTTTTCTTTAGGAGTTTACGTCTGCCTGATCCAGGTTCGCCCACAGTCCAAGGACCTGCTCCAGGCCCTCAGCATGGCTGACACGTCAGTCTATGGATGGGCCACACTCGTCAGTGAGCGGAGCAAGAATGGAATGCAGAGAATCCTCATCCCTTTCATCCCAGCCTTTTATATCAATCAGTCAGAACTGATTCTCAGTCACAAACAAGACACAGGGGAGATAAGAGTACTGGGAGTAGATAGAGTTCTTGAGAAGCTAGAGGTATGTTAAGGATTTAGCCAAATTACTGGAGATTTGATGCTATCTGCTCTTCAGGCAAATCCAACTCAGCAACATTATACAACAAATTGAAACCCTGCCCAGTCAAGCTCCATCCTCATGATCCCAATGTGCTGGAGCTCATTGTTGCATTCCATCTAGCTCACTGACAGGCTTCTTCTCCTTCACTGACTCTCTGCTTTTCCAACTATGATGTTCTTTTCTAAGGGCTAGCCCCTCCTAGTAAGAAGCCCAAAGTATGTGAGACAAACTCACCATCCTTGCTTCTAAGGAGCACCTGGCTTCACTTGTTCTAAGATGATTTTTTTGCCCTTTTGGCAGTCCATGGTGTAGTCAGTACTCTTGACTAATACCGTCATTCAAAGGCATTCATTCTTCTACAGTCTTCCTTAATTAATTGTCCAACTTCAAGATGCAGATGAACAGCTGAAAATACCATGGTTTGGGATGGACAGATATGAGTCTTTAAAATTACATCCTTGCTCTTTAGCATTTTTTTTAGGGTTTTTTAAAATTTTATTATTATGTGTGTATACTGTCAAATTGGATCTAACTGGTATAGGAGTAGATTACCCCTCCTTCTGCGTACCTCTGGGGTTGCAATGCAACTTCTTGCCACTAGGCCACCAGAGCTCCCCGCTCTTTAGCATCTTAAAGAGGTCTATGACAGCAGATTTTCATAATACAACATGTCTTGATTTCTTGACTGCTGCTTCCATGGGTGTTGACTGTGGGTCCAAGTACAATTAAATCCTTGACAAACAATCTCTTCTCCTCTCTCATAATGTTGCCTATTGATCCAGTTGTGAGGAGTTTTGTTTTCTTGATATTGAGGTGTAATCCATACTAAAGGCTGTAGTATTTTATTTTCTTGAGCAAGTGCTTTAAATACTCTTTATTTTCAATAAGCAATGCTGTGTTATCTACATAATGTAGATTGTTGATGAGTCTTCCTCCAATTTTGACACCAGCACACATATTGAGTAAGTATGACGGAAGGGTAAAACCCTGATGTATATACACCTTTCCTGATTCTAAACCATTGTCCTTGTTCCATTCAAACTTGTTGGTCTATACAGGTTCCATAAAAGCACAATGAAGTGCTCTATGATTCTCATCCTTTGAATGTTATCTTTAATTTATTATGACTCACACAGTGGAATGCCTTTTTATAGTTAACACAAGTAAACATCTTTCTACTATTCTTTGCTTTCAGCCGAGATCCATCTGACATCAGCAATGCTCACTCGCATTCCATAGTCTCTCCTGAATCCAGCTTAAATTTCTGCCAGTTTTCTGTCAATATAATGCTTGAGCATTTTTCCCCATTATCTTCAAGACTATACTTGCATATGATATTAATGATATTGCTTGATCATTCCCACATTCTCTTGCATCATTTTTTTGAAATATTGTTGTTAGGTGCCAAAGAGTCAAGTACAACCTATAGCAGCCCTATGAAAAGTAGATCTGAATCCTGCCTATCCTGCACCATCCTCACACTTCTCAACACATTAGGACCCATCGTGGCAGTCTTCCTGGTCAAGGGTCTTCCTCCCCTTCTACCTACCAACGACTTTCTACCTTCCCAAGCATCATGTCCCTCTCCAAAGAACAGCCCCTCCTAGCAACATGCCTGAATTATGTGAGGCGAAGCCTCATCATCCTTGCCTCCAAAGAGCATTCTGGCTGCACTGTCTCCAATATATATTTGTTTGTTCTTTTTGGCCATCCATGGGATGTCCAGCGCTCTCCTCCAACTCCACAGTGCAAAGGTATCGATTCTTCTTCTGTCATCCTTATTCATTGTCCAGCTCTCAGATACAAAGCAAGTGATCAGAAAGACCATGGTCTGTATCAGATGCTCCTTACTCCTCAAACTGACGTCATTACTCCTCAATAATTTGGAGAGGTCTCTAACTGCAGACATTCCCAATGCAGTAAGTCTCCTGATTTCCTGACTGCTCGTATCAAGGGTGTTAATTGTGGATCAAAGTAAGATGAAGTTGTTGACAGTTTCAATCTTTTATCCATCGATCATGATGTTGTCTATCAGTCCAGTGGTAAGAATCTTTATTTTCTTGACATTGAGATACAATCCATACTGAAGGCTGCATTCCTTGATTTTCTGCAACAAGTGCTTCAAGTCACCTTACTTTCAACAAGCATGGTTGTGTCATCTACATAACACAGGTTAATAATTAGTCTCCCTCCAATCCTGATGTCACATTCCTCTTCACAGTCCAGCTTTTCAAATAATTTGCTCAGTATACAGATTGAATAGGTATGGAGAGAGAATTAACCCTGACACACTCCCTTCTTAATTTTAAACCTTGCTCTGTTCACCCAACATCCTCCTGGTTTAGATATAGATTCTGCATGAACGCAATCAAGTGCTCTGGGATTCCCATTCTTCACAATGTCAGCCACAACTTGTCATGATCCACACAGTCAAATGCTTTTGCATAGTCAATAAATAGACATTGCCCTGATATTCTTTACTTTCAGCCAGGATCCATTTTCCATCAGCAGTGATATCCCTGGTGCCACAGCCTCTTCTAAATCCTGCTTGAACTTCTGGCAGTTCCCTATCTACATACTGTTCTAGCTATTTTTTAACAATCTTCAGCAGTATTTTGCTTGCTTGTGATATTAATGACATTGTTCTATAGTTTCTACATTCTGTTGGATCACCTTTATTGGAAATGGGAATAAATATGGACCTCTTCCAATGGCCAGTTGTCCTCCAAATTTAGTAGCACAAACTGTTGAGTCAATGGGTATCCGATTGGTTCCTGGGGCCTTGTTTTGTTTTTGTTTTTGTTTTTTTTGCCAATGCCTTCAATGAGGCTTTCATCTCCTCTTTCATTACCATTGGCTCCTGCTTATATGGTACTTCCTGAAATTTTCCCATGTTAATCAGTTCTTTTTTGGTACAGGGGTTCTGTGTATTCCTTCCATCTTCTTTGGGTGCTTTCTGGGTCATTCTACATTATCATCCATAGCATCTTTCAGTATGTGACTCAAGGCTTAAATTTGTTCTTCAGTTCTATCAGCTTGAGAAATGTGAAGTGAGATCTTCCCTGTTTATTCTCCAATTCCAACTTCCTGCACATTCCAGTATTATGCTTTGCTTTGCCTTCTTGAGCTGCCCTTTGAAATCTTCTGTTCAGCTCTTTTGCTTTCAAAAGGCATGTTTTCATTTGTTTTGGCTTCTTAATGCTCTAGTGTCATTTTTAGAGTCTCTTTCAACATCCATTTCTGTTTTTTCTTTTTGTTCTGTCTTTGTAATGACCTTTTGCTCTCTTCATGGATGATATCCCTTGATATCATCCCACAACCCATCTGTGTGGTCTTCGATTATTGGTGTTCAATGCTTCAAACCTATTCTTAAGATGATGTTTAAATTCAGATGGAATAGATTTAAGATCATATTTTGGTTCTGTGGACTTATTTTCATCTTCTTCAGCCTCAGTTTGAAACTTGCACATGAGTAATTGATAGTCTGACCAACAGACCACCCAGGTCTAATTTTAATTGCTGATATTGAGTTTCTCCAACAATTCGTAACACAGGTGTAGTCAGATATGGTGAGGTCCATCTGTAAAATCACTGTTTTTGTCTTTTAAACAATGTATTTGTAATGAATAAATCATTGAAAATACAGTCATTCCATTTCCAGCCTCATTTCTATCTCCAAGCTGTTATTTTCCCACTACTTAAAAAAAAGGTGGGGAGCTCTGGTGGCCTAGTGGCAAGAAGCTGCACTGCAATCCCAGAGGCGCATGGTTCAAATCCACCAGATGCTCTGACGGGAAAGGAGGGACAATCTCCACCTGTACCAGTCAGATCTGATTTGACGGTACACACACACACACACACAAAATAATAATAAAATTTTAAAAATTTAAAAAATTTTAAAAAAGCAAAATTTTTTTTCCTTGCAGTCAAATGTCCTGGCATAGATGAAAGAGCACTCACAGGATTTTATATGTTCACTGAAATACTTCAACTGATATTCCATTAATTACTGGAGGCTTTCTTTCTTTCTTTTTTTGTGAATGCTTTCATGAAGCTTAGCCTTCTTCTTTCAGTGTCATTGATTTTCCACCATATGGTACTTCCTGAAATGGTTCAGTATCAACCAGTTTTAGCACATTGACTCTGTGGATTCCTTCCATCTTTTATGCTTCTTGGGTCATTCTATACTTTTCCCATGGAATCCTTAAGTATTACAACTCCAGAGTTGGATTTTTTTTCAGTTCTTTCTGTTTTGGAAATGCCAATTATTTCCCTTCCCTTCTGGTTTCTCAACTCTCTGTCTTTGCATATTTCACTACAGTACTTTGTTTTGCCTTCTGACGCTGTCCATTGGAATCTTCACTTTAGCTTCTTTCCATCCAAAAGCAAGTTTTAGTCTAACATCCATTTTGTTCTTTTTTTCTTTCTTGTCTTTTTAATGATCTTCTGCCTTCTTCCTCAATGATGTCCTTGATGTCATCCCACAATTCATCTGGTCATTAGTGTTCATTGGATCAAATATAGTCTTGAAATATATTCTTTAAATTTAGGCAGGATAAATGGAAAAGTCATATTTTTGCTCTTTTATACTTTTCCTTTTCTTCTACTTCAATTTGAACTTGCATATAAGGAACTGATGGTCTGTTCCACAGTTGGCCTTTTCCAAAGATGGAGTCCATGTGGTTTCCATCAGATGGGGTCCATGTGTATAGTTAAAATTTATGGGGGTTTTAAAACAAAGTTTCTTTTATTTTAATTGTGATTTTAACAAAACCTTACAAAAAAGTTGGATTTTCATTCATTCGTTGTTACAAAACTATGGAAAACTTCACGAATTTGCGTGTCATCCTTGCTAGGTGCCATGCTAATTTTCTCTGTAGTGTTCCAATTTTTGTATATGTGCTGCCTAAGCAATCACACCATTTATGCTTTTTTTCAAAAGATCTTCATAATAAATAAGTCATAGATTGCCCAAAATACATGATATTATATGATCTCTGATTTTCATTTTTATTGCTAACACTACTTTTCCAACTACCAATCCTCTGGTTTCCAACTTTTGCATTCTGGTCACCATTTATTATCAATGCATCTTAATTGTATGTTTGATAAATTTCAGATTGCTAATGTTGGTAGAAATCTTCCATTTCTTCCTCTTTGGCTCTAGGTTTTGGTGCATATATTTTAATTCTAGTCGTATTAACAGATTTCTTTGCATGCCTATGGAAATTACCACTGTCAGCACTGTACTTCAGGACCGATCTTGAAATGTTCTGTTTGATAATGAATGCAACACCATTCCTATTCAGTTTGTCATTCCTGGAATTGTTCAAAAGGGCATATACCAGCCCAAGATATTAATCTTTACGTATTCCATTTCATTTTGACAAATTTGCCTAGATTTACACTTCCTACATTCCATATACCCATTATTAATGGATATTTGTAGCTAATTCTCATGATTTTGAGTCATGCCACATTAGCAAATGAAGCTTCTTTATTAAGAGTAAGTAAACTTTACTCCATCTACGTCACTGAGGTGGTGGTTGTTGTTAGGTGTCACTGAGTCAAGCAGGACTCATAGCGACCCTTTGAACAGAGTATCTGAACCTCGACCTATCCTGCGCCATCTTCACACTCCTGACACTCCAGCCCATTGCGGCAGTCACCATGTCAATCCACCTGGTTTGATATAGATGGAGTAAAGTTTATACCCAAGGTAGGAGTGCTGATTGCTGATTAAGGTAAAAGGAGAATGTGAATTCAGAACACTATAGGACTCAGGAAGAACCTATAAGTAAACCAACAACACTCATTCAAACAGAACAAGAGAATAGTGATGGTTTAAAATAAGGAAAAGTGTGCATTAAGGTTGTATCTTGACTCCATATCGATTCAATCTGTATGCTGAGAAAATGATCCAAAAAACTCGACCATATCATATATCAGAATGTAGCATAAACAGCCTACTTGATGCCAAAGATGATGCTTGTGGAAAGTGAAGAGAATTTGAAGCACTTACTGAAGAAAATCAGACTATATAGCCTTCAGTATGGATTACACTTCAACATCAAGAAAACAACCTTTAAAAAAAGAAGAAAACAAACTTCCCATCACTTGGAGCAGCATCATGAAAAATGAAGAAGAGATAGATGTTGTCAAGGATTTCATTTTACTTGGATTCACAATTAATACTCATGGAAACAGCAGTCAAGAAATCAAAAGATCTCTTGGGCAAATCTTCGTCACGGAACTCTTCAAAGTGCTGTAGAATAAGGATGTCATTTAAAAGATCAAGGTATGTCTGACCCAAGTATGGCATTTTCATATACATATAGAAGTTGGACAATAAATAATGAAGACTGAATAACTGATGCCTTTTAATTGTGGTATTGACCAAAAGGATTGACTATAGCATGAACTACCATCAGAACACACAAATCTATCCTGGAGGAAGTGCAGAGGTGTAGATGGTTAAACTTCACCTTACACATTTTGAGCATGTTGTCAAGAGGCATCAGCCCTTGGAAAATGATATAATTGGAGAATCAGAGAAAGAGTGAATACTTTTCAACAGACTGACATAGTGTCTGCAAAATGGGCTTGAATGTGACAGAAATTCTGAAAATTATGCAGAATAAGACAAGGTTTCAATCTGTTCATAAAATTGCTGTAAGAGACAACGTGATGTCACCTCACAACTTTGAAGAGGCAGCTCTTCCCATTGCCTTACAGCCCAAAAGGGCACTATGCCAGGCACTGTTCCACTGTATTCACAGGGCTTTTGCAGATGTGGATAGCCAGTCCTGCTTCTAGACTATGTCAGTCAGGAAGTTCTGCTGAACTCTGTCCACTGTGGGTGACCCCAAGTGGTACTTCAGATACCAGTGGTACAGTTTTCAGATCAAAGCAACACAAGAGTCACCACAAGTCTGCAAAGTGAGACAAGTGGAGATTAGAACTTTTTAAAAAAAGATTCGTGGTGCAGTAGTTTAGCACAGTTACAGAATAAACTGATAAAGATCACTGACTTGTTACTTTAATTTCTTCCATGGTCACCCATTTTGTATAGTATTTCATGAGTTCCTTGTTTTTCAATGCTGCATAGTATTCCATTGTGTGAATATACCAGAGCTTCTCTATCCATTCATTTGTTGATGTGTACTTGGGTTGTTTCCAGCTCTTTGCTATTGTGAATAAAGACACATTAAACATGGATGTGCATATATCTGCTTGGGTGGCAGTTATGGTTTCTTTAGGGTAAATTCCCAGTAGTGGAATTGCTGGGTCAAATGGTATTTCTATTTCCAACTTTTTGAGAAAGCATCATACAGCCTTCCATAGTGGTTGCACCATTTTACACTCCCACCAACAGTGAATAAGGGTCCCAGTTTCTCCACAACCTCGCCAGCATTTGATGTTTGCTGCTCTGTTAAATTTTGCTATTGTTACTTGGGTGAGATGATATCTCATAGTTGTTTTGAAGTCTATTATATTCTTGCACCTCATATTCTTCCTATATCCTTCAATAGACCCGTTGTTGTTATGTGCTGTGGAGTCACTTGCAACTCATAGCAACCCTATGTACAACAGTTGTGAACCTCGCTCTATCTTGTGCTAACATTACTGTCTCTGACACACCTACCTTCATTACCCCAGTCACTGAGTCTATCCATCTCATCCAGGGTCTTCCTTTCCTGTATTGTCTCTCCATCCTCCCAAGCATGACGTCCCTCTCATTGCAACATGTCCAAAGTATTTCAGATGAAGCTTCAGAATAGCTGCATCCAAGGAACACCCTGGTTTTACCCTCTCCAGGATGAACTTTTTTGTTCTCCTAGTGGCCCATGGTATATTCAATACTCTTCTCCAGCACCACAATTAAAAGGCATCAATTCTTCTTCTATCATCCTTAGTCATTTTCCAGCTTTCTGATGCATAGCAAGTAGTTGTGAAGACCATGGCCTGGATCAGGTACACCTTAGTCTCCTGACTGACATCATTCCTGTTCAAAATACTCTGGAGAGGTCCCTGACAGCAAATGTTCCCAATGCAATTAGTCTTCTGTTTTCCTGGCTGCTGGTACCAAGAGTGTTGATTATGGAGCCAAGCAAACGGAAGCAATTATGAAGCCGAGCAATCTCAAGCTCTTCACCATCTGTCATAATGCTGCCAATCCGCCAAGTGGTGAGAATCTTTGTTTTCTTGATGTTGAGCTTCAATCCAGAAGGTTGTAGTCCTTGATCTTCTGCAGCAAGCGCTTCAGGTCCTCATCAGTTTCAGCAAGCAGGGTTGTGTCCTCTGCTTAACACAGATTGTTGGTGGGTCTTCCTCCACTCCTTGATGCCACACTCCTCCTCATAGAGTCCAGCATCCCAGGTGATCTGTTCTGCATATAGATTGAAAAGGTATAGAGATAGGACCTAAGGAGATGAAAGAGTAAATGGCTTATTTGGTATGAGACTAGCTGGAATTAGAAATTCTGGAGATGTTATTTAAGATTGGAACATATCTTTTTCTTCCCTCACACAAGCACCATTTTATCTTTTCTCCAAGGTCTTACCTAGTTCCCCAGTTCTGGTGGTCTCTCGCCATAGCAGCTCTTCCGTCACACCTGGCCTGGCCATCTACCCCGTAAAAGTGGTCAACTTTACTTCCCTCCAGCAAACGACATCACCTGTTTTCATCAATGTCTCCTGTGTGCTCACTAGTCAGAGTGAGGTTGTGCTGGTCAGAGCTGTGCAAGAGAAGAAGCCTGGTGCAGGTGAGCACTGGGGACTGTATTTAAATGGGGAGAGGGGATGGAATGTATTATTCACAACTTAGTCAAGAGGATGCATTCAGCCACTTGACCAAGACTATTCAAACTAACTGAAGCATCAACTTTCCAAACTTTGTTCTAATTTTTCTTTCCAAACCTTCCCAACATACAGCTAGTGAGACTTTGTTCTCTCTACTAGTTAGCTAAGGTATAATTACAAATCTTAAGAATAGTTATGTCAATTTGGCTTGAGTGTATGATCTGTGTAAAAGAAGCATCTTCCTTTGTTGTTTATACTTCCTCACCATTCAAGAGAAACAGTTCTTTCCTTGATTATTGAGTCTCATGGCCTTGTGGTAAGAAGCTGAGCTGCAATCTCAAAGACATGCAGTTCAAATCCACCAGGTGCTCATGCAGAAGAATGGACAATCTCCTTTTATGCAATTTACTGCCTCTGAAACCTGCTGCTGGATGGTCAGCAATGAGTTGGTCCCAACCACACAGTGTACACCAACTAGAACATCTAATGTCAAGGGTTTGTTTTGTGAGCATATGCTATGAAAAACAAGAAGAACTCACTGCCATCAAGTCAGGTTTGCAAGGTTGTAGATCTTCTGTGGAGCAAACCAGTGGAGTAGAACTGACATTTCCATTAGTAGCTCCCTTACATTACACGTTATGACAACCAACACATGCTGGATACACGTTAGGGTACGGGTCAATATCCTAACCACATTTATGCGACATAGACTTTATTTTTATTATTTTCAATTACCCTTCAACTGAAAGCTTCTCATTGAATATGCAGTGGGATTTATATCAAAAGAAAGCAGATGTTAAATTTCAAAATCACCTCAAAAGCAAGTTCTTCTCAGACTTGCTGCAAGAGTTTGTTATTTAACAAGTCATACTAATCATAAATTGGTTTTGTTGTTGTTATGTGCCATAGAGTTGCCTATGATTCATAGTGACCCTGTGTACAACAGCTCTGAACCCTGCTCTACCCTAAACCAGTCTCATTGACTCCAGCACACCTACTCCCAGTTACTGTGTCAATATACCTCATCTGGGGTCTTTTTCTCCTGTTCTTTCCCTCCACTTTTCCAAGCATGTCTCTCTCCAAGGATTAGTTTTTCCTGGCAACATGCCTATTGTATGTGAAACAGAGCTGCAAAATCCTTGCCTCCAAGGAGACTAGATGACCAGATCCTGATGAGGCCCTGGGCCTGATCACACATTGACAGGACTCCTGCCCCCAAATTCCAAACAAACTACCACTGCCTCTAAGTCTCCCTAAAAACCCCTATAAAAGGAAACTGTCTTTGTCTGTCTGCACACCACTCTGATCCTCTCTCCAAGTGGTCACCTGTCATCCTTCTCAGACCACACTATAAAGGCCTGTTCCTTTCTTTGGGGGTGGGGGGAAAGCCTTGCCTTGAAGGAGCAGCCTGGTTTCACCCCTCTCCAGAATAAACCTGTTTGTTTTTTTGGCAGTCCATTGTGTGTTCAATACTCTTCTCCAGGACCACAATTCAAAGGCATCAATTCTTCTGTCATCTTTAGTCATTGTTAGCTCTCTGATGCATACATAGCAAGTAATTGTGAAGACTGTGGCCTGAATCAAATGCACTTTAGTCTCCAGGCATTTCTATTTAGCACTTAGGAGAGGTCCCTGGCAACATTTCCCCAGTGCAACTCATCTTTTGGTTTCCTCACTGCTGGTGCCAAGAGTGTTGATAGTGGAGCCAAGCAAGCTGAAATTGTTAACAACCTCTGTCTCTTCTCCATCAATCATGGTGCTACCAATTGGCCCAATTATGAGAATCTTTGTCATCTTGATGTTGAGTTTCAATCTGTATTACAGACTACAGTCCCAGACCTTCTGCAGCAAACACCTCAGTTTTGGCAAGCAAGGTTGTATCATCTACATGAATTAGGCTTTTTAATATTTTTGTAGATATAATTTGTCATAAATCAGTTCTTTTTCTATTTTGGCTAACGATATGGTATCTTTTGTACTCATCCATCTATCTTATATTTACATTTTTTTTTCTTCTGAGATGGGAACTACCATAGGTTTCACTAGATTGCCAAGTTACATACACACAAAACTTTATTTCTGAAGTTAGGGGGTCAGTGAGAAGACTATTTCCAACAGCAGCTGTAAATATTCAATTCAATCTTCAACTCAATTATAATCATGTGAATATTTACTCATATATGACAAGCAGATTTTAAAATAGGACTTCTGCCTTTAAATAGCTCTGGAGCTTAGGGATTAGTTCCATGCCATTACAATAGGAGATAATACTTGAAAATTTAATGTTGTTGTTGTTGTTAGGTGTCATCAGGTTGAGCATGACTCACAGTGACCCTATGAACAAAAGAGCTGAATCCTGTTCTGTCCTGCGCCATCCTCACACATCCTAACACAAAAAAGCCCATTGCAGCTGTGACCATGTCAGTTCACCTAGTTGAGGGTCTTCCTCTCCTTCACTGACCATTATTACTTCCCAACATTATGTCCCTCTCTAAGGAATAGCACCTCCTAGCAACATGTCAAAAATATGTGAGATAGGGGAGCTCTGGTGGCCTAGTGGCAAGAAGCTGCAACTACAATCCCAGAGGTGCAGGATTCAAATCCACCAGATGCTCTGCTGGGGAAGGAGGGACAATCTCCTCCTGTACCAGTCAGATCTGATTTGATGATACACGCACACAAAAATAATAAAATTTAAAAAAAAATTAAAATAAATGAATAAATAAAAATTTTAAAAAAAATATGTGAGGTAAAGCCTCATCACTCCTACTTGTAAAGAGCACTCTGGCTACACCCCTCCAAGTCCAAGACACCTGTTTTGTTCTCTTGGCCATCCATGGGATATTCAACGCTCTTCTCCAAGACCACTGCTCAAAGGCGTCAATTCTTTTTTTGTCATGCTTATTCATTGTCCAGGTCTCAGATGCATAGCTAGTAATTGGAAAGACTATGGCCTGAATCAGTTGCACCTTCTCAATACTTTAGAAAGGTCCCTAACTGCAGATCTTCCCAGTTCAATACTTGTTTCCTGACTGCTCATACCAAGGGTGTTAATTGTGGGTCCAAGCAAGATAAAGCTGTTGACAGTCTCAATTTTCTCTCCATCTATCATGTCACTGCCTATTGGTGGTGGTCCTATCCAGTGGTCCAATCTTTGTTTTCTTGATACTGAGACGCAATCCATACTGAAGGCTGCATTCCTTGATCATCTGCAACAAGAGCTTCAAGTCCTCCTCACTTTTAGCAAGTAGTGTCATCTGCATAACACAGGTTATTGGTGAGTCTCCCTCCAAACCTGATGCCACATTCCTCTTCACAGAGTCTAGCTTCTCAGATAATTTGCTCAGCATGTAGATTGATTAGATATGAAGAGAGAATACAACCCTGATGCACTCCCTTCCCAATTCCATACCATGCAGTGCTTCTCTGCTCCATTCGTAAAACAGCCTCCTGATCCAGGTATATGTTCCTCATGAGCACAATCAAGTGCTCTGGGATTCCCATTCTTCTCAATATCAGCCACAACTTGTCATGATCCACAGTCAGATGCCTTTGCAGTTATTAAAGCACAATAGACATTCCTCTGGTATTATTTCTTTTTAGCCAAAATCCATCTGACATCAGCAATGAAAATTTAATAGACTTCTAAATTTTGGACTCTGAAACAATTGGCATTTGAAAGCCAAAACCTTTTAAATAGCAGAACCTGGTCAGGAATTTCTTAGTGCACATACTCCAAATCATTCTTCAGAGTGAAATATGTCATTAATATTGTTAATTATAAGGAAAACAACAGTGACAGTTAAACTGAGTTTGGAGGTAGATGGCCTGTGTAACATTGAGAATGGGAATCCCAGAATATATAATTGTGCTCATGCTAAATCCATACTCAGACCAAGAAGCTGTTGTTCCATCAGAGCAAGGGAACACTTCATGGTTTAAATTCCAGAAATGTGTAAATCAAGGCTTTGTCCATAGCTATTTAATCTGTATGTGGAACAAATCATTGCAGAAGCTGAAATCTATGAGGAAGAATGTGATACCAGGATCAGAGACTCATCCACAACCTGCATTATGCAGATGACACAACCTTGTTTGCTGAAAGAGGATCTGAAGCACTTGCTGCAGATCAGACTCCAACCATCAATGTCTTACATCCCATCAAGAAAATAAAAATCCTCACCACTGAGTCAACAGGCAACACCATGACAGATGAAAATTGAAATTGTCAACAATTTCCTGGAGTGTCCAACAATTTACATGGGTCAATAATCAACACCCTTGGTACCAGGAGTCAAGAAATCAAAAGATGGCGAGCTCTGGTGGCCTAGTGGCAAGAAGCTGCACTGCAATCCAATAGGTGCATGATTCAAATCCACCAGATGCTCTGCTGGAGAGGGAGGAACAATCTCCTCCTGTACCATTCAGATCTGATTTGATGGTACACACAAAAAGAGAATTAATTTTTTAAAAAAAATTTTTTTTATTATTTTGTGTATGTGTGTCTGTGTACCATCAGATCAGATCTGACTGGTACAGTCCCTCCTTTCCCGGCAGAGCATCTGGTGGATTCGAACCATGTGTCTCTTTGATTGCACTGCAGCTTCTTGCCACTAGGCCACCAGAGCTCCCAAAAAAAAATAATAAAATTAAAAAAAAAATAAATAAAATTTAAAAAAAGAAATCAAAAGACATTATTTAAGAGAAAATTTACTAAGAACCTCTCCAAGGTTCCTAAGAACAAAGGTATCAGTTTAAAGATTAAAGGTGTGCCTGATTCAAGCCATGGTCTTTTCAATTACTTTTCTATGCATCTGAAAGTTAGAAAGTGATCAGAACGACAGCAGAATCAATACCTTTAAATTGTGGTGTTGGATATAAGTATTGAATATTCCATAGACTATTAAAAGAACAAATAAGTCTATCTTAGAAGAAGTTCAACTAAGGTGCTCGATAGGGTAAGATGGACATGTCAGGAGGGGATGGTCCTTGGAAAAAAAGACATCAAGCTAGGCAAAGTGGAAGATTTAAAGAGAGGAACTCTCAACAGAGACTGACATAGTGACTGTGACAATGGGCCCAAGCATATCAGAAATGAAGTTGGCACAGGATAGGGCAAAGTTCAGATCTGTTGGTTCACAGGGTCACTATGAGTCATAATAGCTGATCAAACAGCACATTATCAGAAACTAGATGTGAGGACCTGGGGGTCAAATTATCTAGGAAATCTGAGAGATGGGAGTTACGTAGGAAAACATTTGAGAAAATACTATTAGATACCGACAGTTTGAAATAACCAAATGCAAAGGATGCTTTTTATCAAAGAAAAGTTAAAGGCTCTCTCAAAAACTTAATCTGTTGAGCTGAATCAAACTCATGCTGCCATGTGTTACAGGGAAGAGAACTGCTCCATAGTTTTCCTAGCTGCAGTTTTTACAGGAAGAAACTGCCAGAGTTTATATAATAAGGCAGGAAGGATTCCAACTACCAACCTTCACAATATAACTGCACTACTCAGGGATCTATTCTGCTATGTTACAAGAAATGTGCCTGGGATTGCCAGTGACTTGAGGGATTTTTCAATCAATAGACTGTTTGTAGTACAGTTTGAGTACAGCAAAGCACTGCATACACTTGGGGTCGAAAAGTTCACAAGAAACAAGCATTTCAAGGTTAAGAGAGGATTTAAACCAGGTCAAAAATGGGTTACTTTTTTAGAAGAGCAAAGTGCAATGTATATTGGAAGGCAACTTTTCTTATAGAAGCCAATTTTCCTAATAGGGCTAGATTTAAAATACTTCCACTAAAAACCTACTGTTGCAAACTGAGGGTAATTTTATAATTATTAATGAGACAGCCAGCCAGTAATGAGATAGAGCAGAGAGCATAAAACAGGTGGCCAGCAGTTCTAGACTGAAAACGCCAAGCCAAGCTTCTCAGTATCTTTACTGAAAATTATCTGGCAGTAAATCACAAAGAGAATTCAATGCAAATGAAGCCAAGCTCTTTCTGCTTGACTCAGGAGGGAGGGTTTAGCAAACCTAAGAATTTGGTTTACCCTTAAGGATTGCCTTGATGTCTCAGGGTAAACTCTAGCTCAGGAAGTAACACTCCCTTGGTAGGGGGCCACTAGCTGACTCCTGTCAAACAGCTCATTTTCTATGATCTGCCACAAAAGAAATCCTAACTTATAAATTTGTAATTCCTTCAATTCCTGAACAAGGGTTTTCATATACTTTTGGTATAAAGTTTGGCTTCCCATAACCTGCCGTGGATGTTATCAAGTAACTATATTTTTTTCTGGTCAATGTACACAGAACAGTGTGAAGATTCCAGTGTCCTCCAGCAGTTTATTGGTTCCTACCAAACATTCTTCTTTACCCTCTTTGCACTGTTAGCATCAACAGCTTTCATCTTTCTGGGTAAGGAATCCTACTCACTACAAGACTTAAAGACTTGAAAATAGTTTTTATTTCACAATCTAAGGATGAGAAAAATTATTTTCAGCAAACTACCCAATTTGCCACAAGCCATTGATTTGGTTTTGAAACATTTTGGTTTCTAAATGTAGATCACTTTGGTGGCTTAATGGTAAGGAATTGTACTGCTAACACGAAGGTAACTGGTTCAAATCTGTAACTGTCCTGTGAAAGAAAGGTGTTTACTGTCTCTGGAGGGCCAGTTATGGGTCAGTTCTGTACTGGGAAGTTGTGTGTTTTTCATTAGGGAGCTCTAGTGGCTTTTTGTTGTTGTGTACCATGGTGGATTTGAACCGCTTATCCTTGCACTGGCAGTGCAATTCCTCACCACTAAGCCATCAGAGGTCCCTGTGCTACCCACCCCAAGGTACATAGTTTGCATCCAGGAGGTGCTTTTCAGGATACCTGGGCAATCTCCTCCATGTGACGTATTTTTTTTTTCATGTGATGTATTTTGTGTAGAGGGTCAACTACTGGGGGGTCCACAAGAATATGTAAGGGTGTGACAATAAACTGATGCTGCGGATTATGAAATGCTCTAAATGAAAACTCTTAATATAGTGCCAGATTTTGCTCAAATTCACAGATAGATGATTCAAACAACACGTCCAAACCTGCACTGTCCCCCATCTTACAACAAAAAGTTGGCATGCCCCTAAAACCACTGGGTTCCTGTTAAATTTGAAGCATTGCTGTTGTTAGCTGCTGTCTAGTACGACTCCTAACAACCCTATGAACAGATGTGAACCCTATTCTGTCCTGTGCCATCTTCAGTCACTGTGTCAATCCACATGAGGATCTTCTCCACCAACCCTCCCCCATTCAGAGCACATGTCCTTCTCCAAGGAATAGCCCCTCCGAGCAACGTGCCCAAATATAGGTGCTAACTTACAAACTACTGAAATTCTTATTTGACTCTTCAGAGTTAAAACTTAGGTCTCATTTCTCTTTACTTTGCCCTTTTTAAGGCATTCCTCCACCCCTAAAATAAAAACCAGTTATGTTTTTTGGTAACACCTCCTCTGTCCCTTTTTCTAGCATACAATGCCTTCTTAAACAAGATACAGACAGTGCCAGTTGTTTATGTACCTACCCTAGGAATATCACAGCCAGGTAAAGAACTGCTACCCTCATTTTTTTAAAAATGTCTCATGCACAATTTCTTCACTAAGTGTTCATCATCTCCCTTCTCCATTTTTTGTAGTTTCTTATAACTCGACACATTCTCCTGTTCCTTTGATGAACCAACAGACCCCCATGGAACAGAATAGGCTACAACACTGGTTATGGAGCAGAAGACACTAATTTCCCACTGGCGGAGTCATCTCAACTGTAGTACAATGTCTAGCTATAGACACCAACCAAACAAGGGTTCTAAAAACTGTAAATAAAAGATGATGTTTGGCTTTGTTTATGCTGGACTCTGATTTTCTAAAGCCCAACTATCAATTCTAGACAGTAAGAAGCTCATGCAGCGTCTCAGTAAAACACATGTACAGTGAAACCTGACAAGAGCTAGAAGAACTCCATGGCAAAGTGTTTTCCAGATCTCCCAAATTGTGTGCCTTCAACAGTGCAGTCTTACTCTATCCTTAATAGGAGGTATTTGTTTTCCTTCCCCAACAAGTTTCCATCTTTTGAATGTCTATCCTCATGTTTCTTTATCAAGCCCATAACACTTAACCCATGAATCTAGTTAGATAAAAATGTCAAGACGGACATGGCCACTTACTTGACCCAAAAGAATAAGATTCATTCCTCTCCTAGTTGTCCCTGATAACTTGAAGCCGTAAAATAAGACAATAAACAATATATATCCAAAATTCTGTTTATTGAGATAATTTCATCTTGATTTTTTTCTTAATGCTGCTTCCGTCTGAAAGAGCATCCTGGAAGGGAAATGGTCAAAGATTAACAACTGACATCATTCAACCTACCACATATCCCACAAAACAGGCACACTTCTCTGTGATGGATAGTCATGGGTAAGTTTTCTCAACTCCATCACTAACCATACAGTCAAGAGCCCACAGATAAAAAGCCCCTTTTATCGCTCTCCATCCTCATCACTATTTAAAACAATCAAAGCCCATATTGCAGCATTAATGTTTACCTTCTGTAAGCCTTGCTTTTCCTCCTGTAGGCTGACAGAGAACAGTGGAGCAGCCAACACATAAAACTACTGTTTGTGCATGGCTGAAGACCGTGGTGATTTTGTAGCATCCTGAAAAAAAATAAAAACAGTTTAACAACCTTTCTCCTTACAATCCCCACAAGTTCCTTCACTTAAAAGATGTGCATTCAGGAGTATGCATGTTTTTATGTCAACTATCCTATGCTAAACCTTGGATTACCTAGGACACAGACTGCCTCAGTAACTGGGGTGTTGGGGGTAGGTTTGTCAGAGACAATGAGACCGGCTCAGGACAGGACAGGCTTCAGAGCTGTTGTCGCAGGCAGGCAACTCCATGCCACATAACAAAGATGTACTAAAGACGTCACAGATGCAATCTGGACTAGATCCTGCCTAAAGATGTATTGTTAATTATCCTCAGAGCATGAGGATAGAGGATTGTAACAAACAACTATTTAAAGATCATAAATAAGAGAATCAACGTAAGAGAATATTCCACAGGTGGTGGGGCACTAATCTCCTTGCCTCTATGTGAAGTATATCAACCAAGGCAAAAACCAAACTCATCTCCCTTAACAAGTAAAAAAAAAAAAAAAGAAACCAACACACCAGATTTGTATATGGAATTCGTGTATGGGATTAGTCTGTAACCAATAAAACAGTCCTAAAATACAGTCAAGTTCCCTTTTAAGAAAATCAAAACCATTACCATCTACATTTTAGAGGGGAGAAAATGGAACTGTTTTAAGGCAGCGGAAAGCTCACACTGCAGCGGTTTCCCAATCGCTCTAGTCTGGTCCTTTGCCCGCTTCTCCTCACCTGGACATTTCACATCCATGAAGTAGGAATTCGGGCTCTGCACCAGGCGCTTCTTCTTGTGTTTCCTCTTCTCCTCTTCTGGAGAGGGATGAAGGAGATCCTTTGCGAGCTAGAATGGGCATAAAACGCAAAGCTTTAGCAACCTACGGGGTGATGGCAATGTGGCCACAGCCACACACGGGGGAGCGCTCGCCCCTCGCCGCCCTGACGGCTGCGCAGCCGGGCCGCCATCTTGGTTCCGCCCGCTCCCTGCCAACAGGGGACCCAGCGGGGCTCCGCCGTCCCCGCAGGACACGTCTGAGGGAGTGCGGGGGACCGCCGTGGATCCTCTGCGCTCCCAAGTCAGGCGTGAGGGCAACGTGGGACAAAAGAGCGAGATCTCCGGCGAAACCGGGTCCGATCACTCACAGGCATGGTGGCATGCGGAGGTCACAGCCGGAAAGGAGGTAGAGTGTAACTCCGGCCCCTTATATCCGGCGGCCTGCCGGAAGTGATGTCAGCGCCATGTTGAGAAGGTCTCTCCCCCCACCCCCACCCTCAGTCTGGGTGGGACGCGGGCTGTTTTAGGACGGACGCTGAGTGAATCCTGACACAAATATGTCGCCATGTTGAGTAGGGCTTCGTTCTGTTTTGAATTCAGACGTGTTGGATTTCCGCTGTCAAAGAATTAATTGACATTTTTCCAATTTCCTGTTACATTTTAACAATCGGATCCTAATAAATAGGAACTGCTAAGGAAAGCATCATTCAAATGAATTCTTCCGCAAACGTGTTAAATTTATTTCTTTGTTTTGATTTTTTTATTGTGACGTGGACAGTTTACTTTCCCTATTTTCTTCAATTTACCAATTTTAACAATTGTTGTTGTTGTTATGTGCCGTCGAGTCGCCTGCGACTCATAGCGACCCTATGCACAACA